AGCAGCAGCAGCAGCAGCAGCAGCAGCAGCAGCAGCAGCAGCAGCAGCAGCAGCAGCAGCAGCAGCAGCAGCAGCAGCAGCAGCAATAACCCACCTCTGATGCTCTTTCGAGGAAGAGCTCCCATTACAGGAGACCCCGCCCTCCATCCCGAGAAGAGGAACTGCAAAGACACAAAACCCTAAACCCCAAACCCTAAACCCTAAACCCTAAACCCCAATCCCTAAACCCAAAGCCCCAAACCCTAAACCCCAATCCCTACACCCTAAGCCCCAAACCCTAAACCCCAATCCCTACACCCTAAGCCCCAAACCCTAAACCCTAAACCCTAAACCCTAAACCCCAAACCCTAAACCCCAAACCCTAAACCCTAAACCCTAAACCCTAAACCCTAAACCCTTGCGAGTCGACTTGCCAGGGGGTGGAAAAAGGCCAAAAGGTAATTAACTATTTTTCGATCAGCAGCAAAAGCAACAGCAGCAAAACAGCAAATTGAAGAAAAGAAAAACTTCCCCACAAAAGTCCCTTCTGTTGCCAGCAGCAAACGGTGCACAAACGCCGTCGCCATCGCCTTCACGCTGCTGCTGCTGCTGCTGCTGCTGCTGCTGCTGCTGTGGCTGCGCTCGTTGCTGCAACCCGAGGGGCTGCTGCTGGCGCTGCTGCTGCTCCGCTGCGGGGCGCTGCTGCTGCTGCTGCGGCTGCTGGGGCTGCTGCTGTTGCTCGGGCTTCTGGTGCTGCTGCTGCTGAGTTTGCTGGGTCTGCTGCTGCTGGAGCTGCCGCAGATTTTGCTGCTGCTGCTGCTGCTGAAGCTGAGGGCAGCAGCAGTTCTGGTGTAGCTGCTATGGCTGTGGCTGCTGCTGCAGTGGCCAAACTTCCTTCTACTGCTGCTGCTGTTGCTTTTGCTGCTGCTGGTGCCGGCTATGGAGGGACTTGTGGGGAAGGGCGTGCTGCTGCTGCTGCTGTTGCTGCTGCTGCTGCTGCTGCTAATTCCAGTAGCACGTGCTGCTCTTTAGGCTGCTGCCGCGGCCGCGCCGTCTTTGCTGCTGTTGCTACCGCTGTTGGGACTTCTTCGTTTGCTGCTAGTTTTGCTGCTGCTGCTGCTGCCGACACTATTTCTGCTGCTGTGTTCTGCTGCTGCTGTTGCTGTAGTCGCTGCTGCTGCTGTTGGCTTAATTCTCCCCGAGGAGAGCTTGTGTTTGCTCTATGCTGATGCTTCTGTTGCTGTTGCTGCTTCTGTTGCTGTTGCTGCTGCTGCTGTTGCTGTTGCTATTGCTGTTGATGCTGCTGCTGCTGCTGTGCAGGTGTCTGTGCTGCTGGTGTTGCTGTTCTTGATGAGAGGCCACGTGCTGCAGCACCAGCTGCCAGCTGCTGCTACTGTTTCAGCTGCTGCTGCTGCTGCTGCTGCTGGCTTCGTCGCTGCAGCAGCAAGTGTCGAGGCAGCACGAGCAGCAGCAGATCCTGGAGCGTTGCTGCAGCCCCTCCTGGCGCAGAACTCAGCTATAATTTGAGCATTTTGTTGCATTTATTCAAAATAATTAATTTAATTTTGCAAATTTAATTTTTTTACATTATTTTGTTCTCCCTTTCTGCGTTCGGCAGCCACACGGGGGCCCCTCGGCCGCGGCGCTGGGGGCCCACAGACTTCCTGCTTCAAAGTGGATGAACTTTTATTAATTTTAATTTAATATTTTAATTTAATTACTTCTTTTTCATGTTTTGGGGTTTTTGCTGCTTCTTTAGAGCTCGCTGGACTGGATAGTCAGCGGGCTGCTGCTGCAGCAGCAACAATGCAAACAGCAGCAGCAGCACCGACAGAGCCCGCAGCCCACGCTGCAGCAGCAGCAGCAGCAGAGGCGGGAGCAGCGCAGCAGGTAGCGTCAGCAGCAACAGCCGCAGCCGCAGCGCCGGCGGATGCAGCTTCTGCCGCAGCAACAGCAGCAGCAGCAACTGCAGCAGCAGCTGCAGCAAATACAGCAACAGCAGCAGCAGCAGCAAATCCGGTGCTGTCTGTTTGCTTCGACCCTCGCCTGCAGCGCCTGCGGGTGGTGGGGCGGCAGCAGCATCTCAAGGTAACGAGGGACCTTCTAACAGCTAGCCTACGCATCCAGCAGCAGCAGCAGCAGCAGCAACAGCAGCAGCAGCAACAGCAGCAGCAGCAACAGCAGCAGCAGGGGCAAAAACGGCAGCAGGACGCGCAGGCGACAGTCTCGTCGAGGAGCGAGCAGCAGCAACATGCCGCAGGAGCGACAGCAGCAGCAGCAACAGCTCCAGCAGCAGCAGCAGCAGCAGCAGCAGCAGCAGCAGCAGATGAAGCAGGGAATTTCTGGGAACTCGATTTATCTCGCAATGTCTTGACAGAGTTTGACTGGGGCGTAGCAGCAGCAGCGCTGCAGCAGCACGGCTTCTTCTCGCTTCCCGCAGCAGCACAGCCCCCAGCAGCAGCAGCAGCAGCAGCAGCAGCAGCAGCAGCAGCAGCAGACAAACTCTGGTGTCTGTGTCTCTCAGCTAATGAACTCACGCGGCTGCCCAGCTTCTTGGGGGGCCCCCCGCTGCAGCAGCTGCGGGAGCTGCGGCTGAACTACAACAAAATTGCTGCTCTAGAGGACCTAAGCAGCAGCAGCAGCAGCAGCAGCAGCAGCAGCAGCGGGGCCCCCGCAGCAGCAGCAGCAGCAGCAGCAGCAGCAGGGGACTTTGTGGGGTTGCTGCCGCAGCTCGAGGTGTTGGATTTGAAATACAACAGATTAAAAACAATAAAAGGATTGAAACAAATACTCAACAACCACCCGACGCTAAGGACGTAAGTGCTGCTGCTGCTGCTGCTGCTGCTGCTGTTGCTGCTGTTGCTGCTGCTGTTGCTGCCGCTGCTGTTGCTGCTGTTGCTGCTGTTGCTGCTGCTGTTGCTGCCGCTGCTTTTGCTGCTGTTGCTGCTGCTGCTGTTGCTGCTGTTGTTGCTGCTGCTGCTGTTGCTGCTCTCTGTTTGCCTTGGCACGAGCGGGGCTGCATCGGTGCTGCTGTTGCTGCTGCTGCACCTCTTGTGCTGCTGTTGCTGCTGCTGCTGCTGCTGCTGCTGCTGTGTAGTCTTTCTTTAGGCTGCAACAGAATCTGCCGCTTCTCAGCAGCAGATATGCCGCTGCTGCCTTCGCTCACTTCCTTTTCTTTATTTGACAATGCTGTGGGGCCCGAGCAGCAGCAGCAGCAGCAGCAGCAGCAGGGGCAGCAGCAGCAGCAGCAGGAGGAGCAGCAGCAGCATGAGGCGCTCTTGTCCGTTGTCAACACACTGAACTGTTGTCTACCGAATCTGGAGGTAAACTCAAAACCCGAAACCCCAAACCCTAAACCCTAAACCCTAAACCCTAAACCCTAAGCTGCCTTGCCAAACTCAAAGTGCTGAAGCCCCACAATGCGTACTTGAAAACCCTAGCTCAGCTGCTGCTGCTGCTGCCGCTGCTGCTGCTGCTGCTGCTGCTGCTGCAGGAGCTTTACCTATTGGGAAACCCAATTGCAGATCTTGTGGACCAACTGGGTAAGCAGCTGCTGCTACTGCTGCTGCTGCTGCTACTCCTGCTGCTGCTGCTGCTGCTGCTGCTGCGTCTGCTGTGTTGTTTCTGCTGCTGCTGCTGTTTTGTTGCTGTTGCTGCTCCTGCTGCTGCTGCTAGAGCTGCCGCGGTCGTACTGCTGCTGCTGCTGCTGATAGAGCTGCTGCTGCCCTACTGTCGCTGCTGCTGCTGCTGCTGCTGCTGCTGCTGCTGCTGCTGCTGGGTTAGTGCAGCACTTTAATGTGGCATTTTGATTTGCTGCAGCATATCGCGCTGCTGTTTCTGGGGGCCTCCCGAAGCTGCGCTTTCTTGACGGGAGCATCCTGCCAGGGTTTAGGGTTTAGGGTTTAGGGTTTAGGGTTTAGGGTTTGGGGTTTACGGTTTATGGCGGGCCTGCTGCTGCAGCAAAGCCCTTTTTATGTCGAAGAAAAAGTTTTTTTTCGACGAACAAAAAGACAAAAAGAATTCAAAAAATGGACTTTAATGAAAATTAAAATAAATGAAAATGAATTAAATGCAGAAATATAAAATGAATTAATAAATAGAATTTATTTTTGAACTTTTCAAACTTTTCCGAAGTTCAAAAGGCGTTTTGATTAGAAAAATAAATTTAAAAAGAATTCCAAAAAATAAAATTTCAAATAAAATATATTTAAAGAGAAACTCCTTCAGTGTGCATCACGCAGCAAAAAGAAACAAAAGCGTCACAACAAGGGTTTAGGGTTTAGGGTTTAGGGTTTAGGGTTTAGGGTTTAGATTTTAGGGTTTAGGGTTTAGGGTTTGGACAGGAACGCGCCTTCAGGCGCATGCAGAAGGTTACTTCAAAAACGCTGCAAAATGAAGAAGGAAATAAAATGAAAAAAGAAATAAAATAAAATAAAATAAAATAAAATAAAATAAAATAAAATAAATAATGAAAAGAAACGGAAAAGAAATTAATTTATTTTCATTTCATTTTATTGTTTATTTTAACTCTTTTGCAACTTTTGCATTTTGTGAATCTTTTTGGGTCCCAAAAGTTTCAAAAATTATTTTTTTCGAAGTCAATTTTTTCTTTTTGAAATTATTTCGAATTTGAAATTCTTTTGACAGTTTTTTTAAAAATATTTATTTTAAAATATTTATTTTAAAATATTTATTTTTAAATAATTAAATTAAAAATAAATATTTCAATCTTTCAAGTCTTTTAAACCTTTTAAAATTCTTTTTGCATTTTTCATTTTTAGTTCCTTTTGGATCCTTTTGAGCTCAACTTTTTCTTTCTTCTTTTTTAAAAAAATTCACTTAAAATTTAAATCAAATTAAATTAAAATAAACTCACCTTTTTCTTTTTTTTAAATAAAATGCATGTAAAATTTAAATCAAATTAAATTAAAATTAACTCAACTTTTTCTTTTTTAAAATAAAATGCATTTAAAGTTTAAATTAAATTAAATTTAAATAAACTCAACTTTTTCTTTTTCTTTTTTAAAATAAAAAATGTATTTAAAATTTAAATTAAATTAAATTAAAATAAATGCAAAAGAGGAAATTCGCATGCAATGCAAAACAGTTTCTGCATGCATGCAAATTGTTTGTGTGGGACTGAAGACATTTATTTCTTGAAAACATCTTTGATTGTATTTAAATCCATTTATTTCAATTTATTTCAATTAATTTTAATTAATTTTAATTAATTTTAATTAATTTTAATTAATTTTAATTAATTTTAATTAATTTTCATTCAAATTCATTCAAATAAATGCAAATATCTGCTGCTGAAGTTGCTTGAAAAAGACGGAGAGTCAAAACTCGCAAAAGTGACCTTCAATTAAAAGCCTTCCATAATATAATTAAATTAAAAAATAGGAAATAAAACAGCAGCAGCAGCAGCAGCAACAGCAGCAGCAGCAGCAACAGCAGCAGCAGCAGCAGCAACAGCAGCAGCTGGGCAGGGGCTGGGCCATGGGGCCCCCACGTCTGGGGGCCCCATGGAAGCCCCGTGGGGGGCCCCCCGGTTGTTCTGGGGCTTAAAATTGATTTAAATTTCTTTAAATTCTTTTTAATTAAATTAATTTTAAATTATTTTATATTTCGGACTTTTGTTTTCGCAGAAGACGCAGAAATTGGACCCTCTTGGGGCCCCACACATGAGAGGGCCCCGAGGGTTTAGGGTTTAGGGTTTAGGGTTTAGGGTTTAGGGTTTAGCCTTCTTCTTTGGCCATAATGGCGGAAAAGCACAAAGCAAACCCCTCGCGCAGGCTGGGGAGCAGCAAGCAGCAACAGCAGCAGCGGCAGCAGCAGCCCAAGCAGCAGCAGCAGCGCCACAAGCAGCAGCAGCAGCAGCAGCAGCAGCAGCAGCAGCAGCAGAAGGGGCCCCACAGCAGGCCCTACTACACTCCCGTGGCTGTTCCTGCTGGCTACAAAAGCAGCAGATTAATAATTAGGAATTTGCCCCCGTTTTTGACGGAAGAGGCGCTGCGGGAGCACGTTGCTGCTGCTGCTGCTGCCTGCAGCAGCAGCAGCAGCAGCAGCAGCAGCAGCAGCATCACCTACTGCGCCATCAAGAGAAATAAAGAAGGCAAAAGCCGCGGAATTGCTTTTGTGGGGTTGGAGACAGAAGCTGCTGCTGCTGCGCTGCTGCAGCAGCTGCGGGGGACTTACGTGTACACCCGAAAGATAGAAGTAGACTTTGCGCTGCCTCGCGCGTTTGTTGCTGCTGCTGCTGCTGCTCCTGCTGCTGCTGCTGCTGGGGCTGCGGCCAAGGACGCAGCAGACACTGCAGCAGCAACAGCAGCAGCAGCAAAGGCAGCAGCAGCAGCAGAGGCCGGCAAGTGGAAGCACAAGGTGGTCCCAACTAAGGCGGGAATGAAGGCTGAAAGGCAGCACGTTTTGTTCGACGATGCAGCAGAAGCAGCAGCAGCAGCAGAAGCAGCAGCAGCAGCAGAAGCAGCAGCAGCAGCAGCAGCAACAGATGAGGGCGCAGCCACGACCGCAGCAGCCCTCGCGGCGCTGCTGGAGGAGGACGAGCCGGACGACCTGGCGTGGCTGCAGCAGCAGCAGCAGCAGCAGCAGCAGCAGCAGGAGCAGCAGGAGCAGCAGCAGCAGCAGCAGCAGCAGCAGCAGCAGCAGCAGCAGCAGCAGCAGGAACTGGAGCGGCAGCTGCTGGAGGAACACGGGCGGCTCTTAATTACCAACTTGCCCTACAGCAGCAGCGAAGAAGACGTGCGGTGTCTGTGCAGCGCAGCAGCAGCAGCAGCAGCAGGAGCAGCAGCAGGAGCAGCAGCAGCAGGAGAAGCAGCAGAAGTTATTTTAATGAAAGACAAAGAAAGCAAAAAGTCTTTAGGAAGAGCTTTGGTGACTTTTGTGTTTGCTGAAGCTGCTGCTGCTGCGCTGCAGCAGCTCAACGGCATGGTTTACCGGGGGCGCATCCTTGCTGCTGCTGCTGCGCAGCCGAAGCAGCAGCAGCAGCAGCAGCAGCAGCGCGGGGGCGAGAAAACCAGCTTCAAGAAGAAGCAGCAGCAGCAGCGGCAGCAGCAGCAGCAGCAGCAGCAGCCGCAAAAGGCCTGGAACCTGCTGTACGTGCTGCCGTCAGCAGCAGCAGACGCAGCAGGCGCTGCGCTCTCGGTCTCGAAGCGCGACTTGCTGCTGCAGCAGCAGCAGCAGCAGCAGCAGCAAACCACTCCTGCTGCTGCAGCAGCACTTGCGGAGGCCCACGTGCTGCAGCAAACCAAAGAATGGATCGAAAGAGAAGGCCTAATTTCTGCTGCTTTCATTCGCAGGGGCGCAGACCCCATGACAGCAACGTACGACGCAGCAGCAGCAGCAGCAGCAGCAGCAGCGGGACCAGCAGCAGCAGCAGCAGCAGCAGCAGCAGACACCGAACGCAGCAAAGACACGCTGATCGTGAAGCAGCTGCCTGCTGCTCGAGTCGAAGCAGCAGAACTTTTTAATTTGTTTCGAAGACACGGAGAGATTTTGCGTTTTTGTTTATCTCCTTCCAAGACTTTGCTGGTGGTGCAGTTTGCTGCTGCTGCTGCTGCTGCTGCTGCGCTGCGCCGCCTCAGCTTCCGCAAGTATAAAAATGTCCCGCTGCTGATTGAGACAGCTCCAGTTCCAGTTTTTAAAGAAGACAGAGAAAGGCGGGGAGAAGCTCAAGCAGAAGCTGCTGCTGCTCTTGCTTCTGCTGCTGCTGCTGCTGCTGCTGCTGCGGGAGACCCTTCTGCAGCAGCAGCAGCAGCAGCAGCGGCAGCAGCGGCAGACAGCGCCTTGCCGCAGAAGGACGCGGCCTCAGCCAAGGCTGCTGCGGCCGCCACTGCAGCAGCCACAGCGGCTGCAGCGCCAGCAGCAGCAGCAGCAGCAGCAGCAGCAGCAGCAGACGCAGAAGAAGAGGAAGCAGCAGCAGCAGCAACTGCCAGTTTGTTCGTTAAAAACCTAAACTTCAAAACAACGCAAGAGGCCCTTACAGAAGCATTTGAACATTCAAAAGGGTTCATAAGGGCCCACTTAATGACCAAGAGGGGCCCCCTTAGGGGGCCCCCGGGGGCCCCCCGGGGGCCCCCCGAGGTCTTATCTATGGGCTACGCGTTCGTGGAGTACGAGAGTGCAGCAGCAGCAGCAGCAGCAGCAAAGCAGCTGCAAGGCTTGGTGATAGACGGGCATTTGCTGCAGGTGTCTTTGGCGAAGCCCCGCGCCCGCAGCAGCAGCAGCAGCAGCAGCAGCAGCAGCAGCAGCAGCAGCAGCGGCGCGCGCAGCAGCAAAATCGTCGTCAAAAACCTCGGCTTCGAGGCCAGCAGCAAAGACTTGAGAGACCTTTTTTCTCCCTTCGGAGAAATTGTCTCAGTTCGCATTCCAAGAAGTGCAGCAGGCAGCAGCAGAGGCTTCGGATTCGTCACTTTTGCTGCTGCTGCTGCTGCTGCTGCTGCACTCCAAACCCTCAGCAGCACCCACTTGTACGGCAGAAGGCTAGTTCTCGAATATGCAGACACAGGGGTACAAACAACTCTCCACAGGGGGCCCCCCGGGGGGCCCCCAGGGGGGCCCCCAGGGGGGCCCCCAGCCAGGGGGGCCCCCAGCCAGGGGGGCCCCCAGCCTGGGGGCCCCCAAGAGGCTTCTAAAGAGGGGGGGAAAAAGGGTACTTTGAAGCAGAAAAAGGAAAAAAGAAAGCTAGAGGGGGCCCCCGTCAGCCTCAGCTCAAAGAAACGAAAAGAAACTGCTCTTTAGGGGCCCTTTGGGGGCCCCCACGCATTTCTAAACCCTAAAACCTAAACCCTAAACCCTAGAAAGGTGACAACTGAAGGCCTGGGGGCCCCTAGGGGCCCCCCTAGCCCTTCTAGGGGCCCCTAAAAAGGGTTTTGGTGGGCCACTGGGGCCCCCTTGATAGCTTAAGGGCCCATGGCTTTATAAGGGTTAGGGGGCCCCTAGTAGTTCGGTAGTTTGGCTCGGCAAGCTAGGGTTTAGGGTTTAGGGTTTAGTGTTTAGGGTTTAGGGTTTAGGGTTTGACTTCTAGGGTTTAGGGTTCAGGGCTGCACGCCGGCGTCCCGTGGCTAAGTCGGTCTGTATTCGAAGTTGTTTCGGCTAAGTGGTTGGGCCACCTAAACCCTAAACCCTAAACCCTAAACCCTAAGCCCTCGAGGGTCCCCCTAAGCCCTAGGCTCTTGTACACTCATTAGCAAGGGTTTAGCCGGAGGCTAGGGCATAAGGTTTGGCGTTTAAGGTTAAACTCCCGGAGCTAGGGTTTAGGGTTTAAGTCTAGAAGCTAGGGTTTAGAGTTTAGGGTTTAGGGTTTAGGGTTTAGGGTTTAGAGTTTAGAGCGCACTGAGCATCGTCTCGGGCTCTGGCTGATCTGCTGCGCAGCAAGCATTGAGGCCGTGTCTTCCGAATTTTAATTGAATAAATTAAATTAAATTAAATTAATTAAATTAAATTAATTAAATTAAATTAAATTAAATTAAATAATTCATTTAATGCAGTTCTTCCTTTTCAACTTTTTGCTCAGGGGCCCCCAGGGCATCTTCTGTTGCTCGCTGGCCGCTGCAGCAGCAGAACCTTCCAGCACGGCCTAAACCCTAAACCCTAAACCCTAAACCCTAATTTTCAAACCCTAGGCACTGAACGCTAGATTCCAGGCTCAACTCCTAAGCCCTAGACCCTAGTATCTAAACCCTCAACCTGGCTAGAGCACGAGCTCTAAACCCTAAACCCTCGACCCTCGAGCCTGGACCTGCGCGTGAACTCCAAACCCTAAACCCTAAACCCTAAACCCTAAACCCTAAACCCTAAACCCTAAACCCTAAACCCTAGGGGCCCCATGGATATCCTCGCGGCCAGGGGGGCCCCCCTGCGCTGCCCTACTGCTGGGGGCCCCGGTACCCTTGTCCGAGGGTACAAGAAAATGGGGGCCCTTGCTTCCTGCAGCAAGTCGACAGTGTGGCTAGTGCAGCAGCAGCAGCAGCAAGAGCAGCAGCAGCAGCAGCAAGAGCAGCAGCAGCAGCAGCAAGAGCAGCAGCAGCAGCAGCAAGAGCAGCAGCAGCAGCGGGGCGCCGACGACGCCGACACTTCCAGCAGCGCTGGTCCTAACACCTGCAGCAGCAGCAGCAGCAGCAGCAGCAGCAGCAGCAGCAGCAGCAACAGCAGCAGCAGCAGCAGCAGCAGCTACTTTGCACTGAAGGAAGTCCCCCTCAGCTCGATAAAATCGGCGAAGCAGGCGGAGCATCTTTGGGGGGAAAGAAAGTGTTTGGAGGCCCTCAAGCTAAACCCTAATTTGCAGCACAGATGCCACACCCTGTAAACCCTAAACCCTAAACCCTAAACCCTAAACCCTAAACGCCAAACCCTAAACCCTAAAGCCTGGGCGGTGAATCTTCGGATGTTCCAGATCTCGGCCCCTTCTGCTGCTGCGTAAACCCTAGCTTTGCGGCTAAACCTCAGCCCGAGCCGAACCCCAAACCCTAAACCCTAAACCCTAAACCCTAAACCCTAAACCCTAAACCCTCGCTGTTTGTGCGCAGGGAGGAAAGCTTCAGGGAAGGAGCTTTTCTTTACTTCGTTTTCAGTCTTGTTGATGGGGGGCCCCTTTATAAGCACATAAGACTAGGGGGGGCCCTAAGTCTGGAGCGGGCCCGGTGGTACGCTGCAGAGGTAGGGTTTAGGGTTTAGGGTTTAGGGTTTAGGGTTTAGGGTTTAGGGTTTAGGGGCTGCGTGGAGGGCAGCTGCCCTGGGGAGGTGAAGGTCAAACCCTAAGCGCTGAAATTAAACTATAAACCCAAAACTCCAAGCTCGAAACCCCAAGCTCTGAAGCGGCCTACCTCTTAAGGGTTTAGGGTTTAGGGTTTAGGGTTTAGGGTTTAGGGTTTAGGGTTTGGCTGTGCGTCCGCTGGAAGGGCCTTCAGGGTTTAGGGTTTAGTGCCGAGGGTTCGGCCAGCGGGCGCGTGCCTCCCAGCGCGGAGGGCCCAGCGCCTAGGGCGTGGGGCTTAGGGTTTAGGGTTTAGGGTTTAGGGTTTAGGGTTTAGGCTTTAGGGTTTGTGCTGCAGATAACTGTCACCCTCGAACACCTGCATGCAGCGGGCTGGGCCCACAGAGACCTCCAAGCCTCTAATGTCATTTTGGATTCTGGGGGCCGCCCCAAGTTGGTGGACTTTGGCTTTGCCTGCAGAATAGACTCCGCCAGGCAAACCCTAAACCCTAAACCCTAAACCCTAAACCCTAAACCCTAAACCCTAAACTTTAAGCCCTGGGCCCCGAACCCGCGGGCTTTCGGGCGTCCAGCTGCGCGCCTTCAGCCCCGCCTCGCGTTTGCCCCGGCGCTTTACGAGAAAACCCTCAGCCTAGGGTTTAGGGTTTAGGGTTTAGGGTTTAGGGTTTAGGGTTTGTGGTTCCAGGCCCCGCGCGTTTTCCTTCTGTGGAACAGTTCACTCTATGGCCCCTGAGGTGGCAGCCAAAGGCTCTGGGGGCCCCCCAGCAACTGGGGCCCCCCAAGGGGGCCCCCAAGGGGGCCCCCAAGGGGGCCCCCAAGGGGCCCCCCAAGGGGGCCCCCAAGGGGCCCCCCAAGGGGTCCCCCAAGGGAACTCCCCAGGGGGGCCCCCAGAGGGGCCCCCAGAGGGGCCCCCAAGGGGGCCCCCAGGGGGGCCCCCAGAGGGGCCCCCAGGGGGGCCCCCAAAAGGGTCAAGTTTGAATTCTTGTAAGGAACCCTCTGGGGGCCCCTCTGGGGGCCCCCTTGGGGGCCCCTCTGGGGCCCCCTCTGCTTGTGGGGGCCCCTCTGTTTCTGGGGGCCCCCCTGAGGACCCTTCTGACGGGTATATGGGGGCCCCTGTTGATTGGTGGGGCTTGGGGGTGCTGCTCTACGAATGCCTCACTGGGTGCGCTGCTGCTGCTGCTGCTGCTGCTGCTGCTGCTGCTGCTGCTGCTGCTGCTGCTGCTGGTCTTTCTGCTGCTGTTATTGCCGCCGGATGTCGTTGCTGCCTCCAGCGGCTGCTGGATGTGCTGTTTCCTCGCTGCTGCTGTTGTGTGCTTGCTGCTGCTGCTGCTGCTGCTGCTGCTGCTGATTGGGTGCAGCAAATGTGCTGCTGCTTGTCTGCAGCTCTGCACCCTTTGGCTACAAAGATTATGAAAAAGACCCGTAAGCAGCAGCAGGGGGCCCCTAGGGTGGGTTGGGGGCCCCGGGGGCCCCCCTGGGGGCCCTTGGGGGCCCCCCTGGGGGCCCCTGGGGGCCCCCGGGGTGGGCTGGGGGCCCTGGGGGCCCCTAGGAGGTTCTGTGGCTAGGGAAGGGGCTGCTGCAGCGGGAGCAGCAATGGCTGCTGCAGCAGGAGCAGCAACTGCTGCTGCTGCTGAGGCTGAGAGGGCTCCCTGCTGCTTTCTGTTGCTGCTGCTGCTGCAGCTGCTTTACGCTGCTGATCGTGAACCTCCCGTCTTGTTGCTGCTCTGTTGCTGCTGCCGTTCATTTCTCCTGCTGCTGCTGCTGCTGCTGCTGCTGCTGCTGCTGCTGCAGTTCGTTGCGTGTGAGCGAATTGGCTGCGCGGTCTCCTGCGTCGCTTAAATTCCCTAAAGGATTTCCCAGGGATGCAAAGAACATAATTAAGGAGCTGCTGCAGGTTTGCTGCTGCTGCTGCTGCTGCTGCTGCTGCTGCTGCCGCTGCTGCTGCTGCTTGCTTCTATTTGTATTGCACTTCCTTGATGCAGCTGTTGCTGTATTCTGCTGTGGCATTTAGGGCTCCCGTTGCTCCCTTGCTGCAGCAGCAGCTACGCAATAGCTGCAGCAGCTGCTGCTGCAGCTACACAGTGGCTGCAGCTGCTGCTACTGCTGCTGCTGCTGCTGCTGCTGCTGCGCTGCTGCTGCAGGCAGACCCTGCAGTTCGACTGGGTACCAAGGGCGGAGCAGCAGAAGTGAAGGCCCATCCCTTCTTCTCAGGAATCCCCTGGGGGCCCCTGGGGGCCCCCCGGGGGGCCCTCAGCAAAGAAGCTGAGGGCATTCTTCTTGCTGCAGTACCCCCAGCTGACAAGAGTTTGTTTGTTTTCCAAGACCAGGTCAGTGTGAGCAGCAGCAGCAGCAGCAGCAGCAGCAGCAGCAGCAACAGCAGCAGCAGTGCAGCAGCAGCAGAAGCAGCAGCAGGAGCAATGGCAGCAGCAGCTGCAGTGACAGCAGCAGCAACAGCAGCAATGGCAGCAGCAGCAGCAGCAGCAGCAGCAGCAACTCTGGCGCCCCAGAAGGCCTCTTCTGGCTTCGCTTTTGCGTCTCAAATAAATAATTGGACCTTCTTTTCTTTAATAAATAACTTTAAACAATTTTAAATAACTTTAAACAACTTTAAATAACTTTAAATGACTTTAAATCATTTTAAACCTTTTTAAATCATTTAAATAACTTCAACTTCTTCTAATTTGCTACTAAATCAAAGTCCCCTTTTGTATGCAGCCAAAGGAAGACCCAAAAATCCCAGAAGACCCTTTCCATGACTTCTAGGGGCCCCTCAAGGGGGGCCCCCCTTGGGGGCCCCCCTGGGGCCCCCCTTGGGGGCCCCTCAGTGGGGGCCCCCTTGGGGGCCCCTCAATGGGGGCCCCCTGGGGGCCCCTAAGGGGGGCCCCTCAAGGAGAACAGCTCCCCTGGGGGGCCCCTAAGGGGGGCCCCTAAGGGGGGCCCCCCCTTAGGGGGGCCCCCCTGGAGACCCTTGGACGGCAGTACCCTTTGGAGGGGCCCCCGCGGGCAATTCTCCACCTACAGGTGGACAAAAGGGGGCCCCACATATATGAAGGGGCCCCAGGGGGCCCCCAGGGGGCCCCCTAGGGGCCCCCTAGGGGCCCCCCAGAGGCCTCCAGGGGGCCCCCGTGGGCCCCCAAGGGGGCCCCTTTGTGAATTGAGTTTAAAATGAATCAAAAGACAAGAAAAGCAAAAACAAACTTCGTAGCTCAATATGACACATTGCCATGCGCTGAGGGGCCCCCCAGGGGGGCCCCCTAGGGCCCCCAAAGGCCCGCTTGGAGGCCCCCAAGGGGCCCCAAAGGGGCCCCCAAGGGGCCTCCACGGGGGGCCCCCTAGGGGGCCCCCAGGGGCACCCCCAAGGGGGCCCTTTGCCAATTCCCGAGGCCCTTTTGGGGGCCCCCAGCAAGCTTTGGGGGCCCCCCTGTTGGAAAGGCCCCTCAAGGGGCCCAAGGGGCCCCCGGGGGGCCCCCAGGGGGCCCCCGGGGGGCCCCCCGGGGGCCCCAGAGGGCCCCTGGGGGCCCCCCTGGGGGCCCCCAACAGCTGGAAGATTTGATAGGGGGTTTGGACCCCACAAACCCCACATGGTAGCTGCGAGGCAGCAGGAGAACCATTTGCTGCTGCTGCTGCTGCAGCTGCTGCTGCAGAAGCTGCTGCTGTTGCTGCTGCTGTTGCTGCTGCTGTAGCTCCATGTTGAGGGCCCCGCAGCAGAAATGTGAGTGCTGCTGGCTCTAGTGCCACATAACCTGCTGCTGCTGCAGTTGCTGCTGCTTTCACTGCTGCTGCTGCTGTTGCTTTGCTGCTGCTGCAGTTGCTGCTGCTTCCACTGCCGTTGCTGCTCGTGATTTGCTGCTGCTGCTGCTGCTGCTGCTGCTGCAGCTGACGCAGCTAGCGCCTGTACCTGGAATTGGGATGCGGCGGGGCGGCGACCCGCCCTCTCGTCTGCTGCTGCTGCTGCTGCTGCTGCTGCTGCTGCTGCTGCTGCTGCTGCAGCCGCCGCTGCTTGGGGGTGACGTAGTCAAAAGGGTCGTTAGCAGGAGGCCTTCTTCTTTCTGGAGAAACACTTCTCCCTAAGCACAAACCCTAAACCCTAAACCCTAAACCCTAAACCCTAAACTCTAAACCCTCGAGCCCCCGACGTCCCCCTCCCCACACCGCACAAGCAGCAGAAGCAGCAGCATAAGCAGCAGCAGCAGCAGCAGCGGCTGCTGGTGCAGCAGCAGCTGCAGGCAGCTCTTAGGCCCTTGAGGGTTTAGGGTTTAGGGTTTAGGGTTTAGGGTTTAGGGAGGGGCCCCTACCCCTGGATTCCCGATGGGGCCTCCGATCTCTTTCTGCTTCTTTCCTGCTGCTGTGGCCTTCCCTGCCTCTGTGCCGGGGGCCCCTCCTGCTGCTGCTGC